GGCAGTGAATATGTTTCTTTAAAAGCCCAGGCTCTCCTGTTGCAGTCTGAGGACTGCACACCCACCACCGACCCAGGGGCAGGGTCCTCATGGCAGCAGCAGCCTTCCTCCTTCCTGTCGTCTAATTGTATGGCCGTGCAGCTGTTGAACAGCTGTGGATTCCCAGCCCAGGGCTGGAAGACGCACTTCTCTCTGCTGGATCATATAATTCTCGGGGTGGGAGGAAGGAGAAATGAGGGAACAGCGGCAGGCCTCGAGGATGTACCTCTTAAGTTCTAGGCACCTGGCTGTGTGCTTTATGTAAATATTATTTCTAACTCTCACCCAACCTCATAAAAGGAGATGGGACAAATGATCCAAAGGTCAGGGGTGCTAAGTGGCCGAGCTGTGTACTTACACCTGCACTTGTGGCTTACTGTCCAGGATTTAGGTAGAACCCACACTGACGAAGACTTGCGCTACATGCACGTGTCCAACTCAAACCCAGTGCCTTCAGGTCAGTTGGCGGTGTCCTTTTATGCCCATCCAATTGGGACACAAGAAGAACCCTGACAATGTCCACTGCCGGCAAGCAGGTCAGATGACATAATCTCCAAACCAGGCCATTAGCGTGTCCTCTCCCCACTGGAGGCTGGTGGTATCTAAAGGGTGCTTCAAAAAGCTCGTGAAAAATAATGCAATCCAGAGATGATGCCATTCTTCCATGACCTGTTAGAAGCCTCCTCGTATTTCTCCCTCCTTGAACCGGGGGCCGGGGGATGGGGGGCGTAGAATAGGGCAGAAGTGCCCCTGTAGGAACTCTGGGTCCAGGGCTCCAGTGGCCTGGCCACTTCTGTTTCCTGTCTCTGGGCAGCCTGCCGGACGAGTCCAGTGAGGATCTGGGAAAGGGGCACACCCCAAAGCTCCAGGGAAATGGGAATTGTTACACCTATGACATGTTGTCTAGAAATCTCTATTAAAAACACATGGAGGGCGTAAGGACAGATGTTCTAGAACATTTGCTGCAGGCCACCTCACAGTGTGGCAAAACTTGAACTGAAACGAGTGAGGGAACGAGGGGCACAAAGGTAAATCAGGAATGGTTTGCAACGTGGAGAAAGAATGGACCGAAGCCAAGCGCCCCGAGGCAGTGATGAGTGAGAAAAGCAAGGTGCGTCTCGAGACGGGCATTAAACCTGATCCCAGCTTAGCGGGTTCTGCTGCTTATGTTTCTACTAAAAAAACAATGAAATGTTGATGAAGACATATGGTCCCGCCTTGGAAAAAACCAACGACAAATCAACAATGACACAAGTCCATATCTGTAGCCATGTGTATATGCATATTTGGATTCTTGGTGCGTGTGAATAGCAGAGTATAGAAATATATATATATATATATGCAGAGGCAAACACTAAGTTGTTCGCATCCATTACCTGGAAAGGGGTCGGTCGATACATTAGGAAAAGAAGTGAAGGGGTAGGCCAGGTAAACAGGAAAGACACCTTTAAAAGAAATCACAGCGTGATAGAACCCACATGGATGAGTACTTGTGCATGGGCCGACTCACACACGGTGCCTCCGAGTCAATCCCAACGCCGGGCGACCCCCTCGGACAGAGGAGACCTGCTCCACAGGGTTTCCCCCAAGTGCTCCCAGGAGCAATCAGCTTCATCATTCTCCTGAGGAACCGCCGGTGGGGTTGAGGGTAAGTGGTCCTGTACTTAACCCACCGTGCCACCAGAGCCCCTGTGTCTGTGCGTGGAAACCCTAAAAATCACATGAAAGCAAAAAAATGTCCAAGAGACCCCATCGTGGCTTCCATGGCCAGGCCACAGAGAATCGCTACAACCTCAGCATCTCTTCCTTTTGCCTCGCAGGCAGTTTGATGTCATAGAAATGCCCCCGTGACCACGAGCCCTAACTTAGCCTGCTTGAAATTCTGTCTTCCCCAGGAGAAGCTTCCCCACAGCGAGACGCTTCACCGCACGCTCCAGGCTGCAAAGTGGGAGAAACCGCAGCCATGCAGCTATCTGCCGGTGTACCTGCAGCCCCCCGGAGCTCTTAGTCACCCTGCCCTCAGAGCGCCCACTCCAGGTTTCCTTCTTGCCCCTGCCCCCCTTGCTCACTCATTCTGGCATGTACCTAAATCCCCCAAAGCCTCCTGTCACCCCTCTTCCCGTTGGCTTCAATTGATCAGCCAAACTTAACAGAGCAAAGGCAAGGTGAGAGAGCAGCGTTTAACCAAAGGCCTTGCCGTCTGTGACCTACCAAAGTCGGCCTTCCTTGCTCCGCCGGGCAGCCAGCCAGCCCCACTCCACAAAAGGCAACACACCCCCATGCCCACAGGCTTCGGAGCGTGGAGTCCCGTCCCCGCCAGTAGGAGAGAGGGTAAAAGACACAATAAAAGGTCCCCAAAGGTCTGGGTGGGGCCTCACATTACCCTTTCTGGCTTCGTCACTGCTGGCGTCCGGGGCAGGAATGTTCGGCCAGCTCTCAGATGGCTGATCAGGAAGCCCACCTAGAGAAGGAGAGAAGCAAAGGGCATGAGGGCACGTCGGCCTTCTGTGCCCCACGGCCAAGCAGTGAGGGCATTGTTCTGGGCAGATCAGAGCCCCCAAGTGGGCGGGTCCAGGTTTGTCCAGCAGAGATGCGCTGCATGCTTCTGGCAGGTTCTGTTTCGTACTCAAGAGCAGGGCTCGGCAAACTGAGGCTCTAGAGCCACAGTCAACAATTCGGTTACGTACATGTGGCTCTGAAATAAAATGGAAAAGAACTTTAAAGGGTATTATTCGGAGAGCGGTGATTTCATTTGTTTGTAAACATATATAGTTCTAGCTCGCGGGTATTTTTTAATTGCTTTGAGGGATAGGATTGGGTCTTCTAGCTCAAAAGTTCACCAGCCCTTGCCCCTCGAGCCTCAACACCAGCTGGCGTGGCACAGAGTCCATTCCAGCCCTCACATTGGGGGTGAGTTAATGAAATGTTTGTCCAAATATAGCCGGCTAATGTTTAAGTTGATAATTTTGTGTGATCCAAGAATGGTGGTATAGACAGGCACATGGCCTTTGACAGTAAACATTTCCCTACCCTTGCACTAGGGCAGGGGTCCTCAAACTTTTTAAACAGGGGGCCAGTTCACTGTCCCTCAGACCCATTGGAGGGCCGGACTATAGTTTAAAGAAAAACTATGAACAAATTCCTATGCACACTGCACATATCTTATTTTGAAGTTAAAAAAAAAGGGGGGGGAGTCAAAAAACACCTGGCGAGCCGGATAAATGTCCTCGGAGGGCCACATGTGGCCCGCAGGCCGTAGTTTGAGGACCCCTGCACTAGAGCATAAAGAATCTGTTTCCTTACCACCCCTCATGGAATTAACAAAAGAATGCAAACATTCCTTTACTGGATCTGTGCTGGGTCCTGCTGAAACAAATTTACAAACTTAACAGTGAGCCCCAGGGTCGGTGCCCTCCCCTCTACCTCCGTAAGAAAGACCAATGTGAGGCTGTTGCTATAGCTTTGTGGAGCAGTCTGGCTTCCTCTTGGGGACCAGTGTCCTTTGAAGAAGTATTGTTTGCTGTATAAATTGTTGCTCGTTGACCTCAAGTCAACCCCCAACTCTTGGCGACCGCATGCTGACTGATCCTGCTCTATCCCTATGATCGGTTATGACCCATAGGATTTTCATTGGCTAATGTTCAAAAGTAGACTGCCGGAACTTTCTTTCTAGTCTTTGTTACTCTGGAAACTGCCGAAATCTGTTTAGCATCTGAGGCTGTTACATAATCTCCTGTCAACTTGTGAAGGGATGGAGTTTAGCCTGTCAATCAGGTCGCAGCTTGATGACCTCATTTGGCGGCGCGAAGGAGATAAATAGCTCACTGAAGGCCAGACACACTCTCTCTCTGCTTTGTCTTCCTGCTGATAAGCCGCATGGAGCTATGCTGATTGCAGCCAGAGCCTTGGAGCTGGAGGAGCCCCATGGAGACCCACACTAGCACTGAAATGCTTCCACACCATTGGATCCACAAGACTTTCTACCCACTGGCCTGTGATCTTCCTGCATTCAGCATCATTGCATGACTGTGTAAGTCTAAAGAGGAATTTATGGACTAATATCAACATATGGGGTAATATTATACATATGGATTTGATCTGGACTGTTTTCGTGATGTACAATTGCTCTTTGATATGAAGTTCTCTCTTACACACATTGGAGTTTTGCTAGATTTGTTCCTCCAGTTACCCAGGCGAACACAGCATCATAGCAGCAAGCAAGTCTCCATTGAAAAGAAAGGTGGTTGTTGGCTACGGATGAGGTGCAGCAGATGGTGAAAAGGCTCCTACTGAACCACCCCCGCCCTGCTTACTACATGGAAGACTCTTCCTCACTCAGGGACAATGAGGCCTGCCTTCCTCTGACTCGCTCGCTCGTTCACTCAGCCACTGTCATCAACTCGATCCCGACGCATAACAACAGGGCAAAACTGCCTCTGTGGGTGTCTAAGACTGTCATTCTTCCTGGGAGTAGAAAGCCCCATCTTTCTTCTACAGAGCGGTTGGTGGTTTCAAACTGCTAACTTTGCAGTTAGGAGGCCAACCATAACCCTCTATACCACCAGGACTCCTGTACCTCTGCCAGGAGCCATCATCTTTAAGCAAGCACACGTTTGTCTACATCAGGAAGACGGTCAATCCCATCTATCTATTAAAGCTGCAAAGTCCCTGGGAAAGGAGCTCTGGTGGCCAAATGGCTAAGTCCGCAGTGACAAGCCCAAAGATCGGTGTTTCAAACCCACCCAGCAGCTCCTCGGGAGATCCGCTCTTATAAAGACTGAGCGGTTTGGGAACCGATTACAAGGAACTATTATGTGACCTCCTCCCTGGGGGACGGACAACAGAAAAGTGGGTGAAGGGAGACGTCGGACAGGGCAAGATATGACAAAATACCAATTTATAAACTATCAAGGGCTCATGAGGGAGGGGGGAGCAGGGAGGGAGGGGAAAAATGAGGACCTAATGTCGGGGGTTTACGTGGAGAGAAAATGTTTTGAGAATGATGTACAAATGCGCTTGACACAATTGATGTGTGTATGGATTGGGATAAGAGTTGTATGAGCCCCTAATAAAATGTTTAAAAAAGAAAAAAGACTGAGCGGTTCTACCCTGCCACACGGGGTCGCTCTGCGTCTGGGATGATGAGAGGGCACCCAACCACAACAACCTGTGCCTAGAGCAGTCTGGGCACTAAGAGCCAGTCGAGCCAGAAAGAAGCTCTTGTCCTCAAGGTATGCAAATTCTCAACAAGGAGCTGGACAACCCCCCCCCCACCTCACCACCACCCACCCCACCCCACCCCCCCGACCCAAACAGTGGGTGGGGGAATAGGGGTGGAGCACAGCTTGGAGGCTGCTGAAGCCGACTGACTCGCTGAGGTGTGTGGTATCTCGGTTGGGACTGGAACGAGGAGACGGATTCAGCCATGGGGAGACTAGGGGTGAGCATCTGGAAGAAGGAAGAGCAGGCGCCAACCTGGATGGCGAATGAGCTCCCCGGTTGGGGGCGAACAGCGGGGACAAGTCCCGATAGAATGGCCAGGCTCCATTCTGAGAGGATCCTTCAGGAGGTGGCAGGGACGGATTGGGATTGATGTTTTGCCAACCTCTGCCCGGGTGTAGGTGAGCAAAGTGGAGTCCGAGCCATCGGTTAGAAAGCTCGTGACCTGGCAGATGTTGAAACGAAGGCGGCCTGGGCTACACCGTGCAGTGCAGTCGAGATGGGGAAACACAGTGCACTTAGAATACAGCTAGAAGGAGAGTTGGGAGGGGAGGAGCCAACCAGGTTACACGTTGGGCTGTGAACCACAAAGTCAGCAGTTCGAAACCCCCAGCTGCTTCTCAGGAGAAAGATAAGGCTTTCAAGGACGGTGAAGCATTAGTCTCGGAAACCCCACAGGGGCAGTTCTACTCTGTCCTCTTGGGGGATCGTGTGAGTCCCAAGTGACAGCGGGTGAGAGCTGACAGGAGGCAAGAGGGGCCACCACGGACGTGGAAAGTCAGAGGGTGAGGAGCTGAAGAGGCTTGGGGTGGAGCAGATGTGAGCACCGAGACTGTTGTCGCTAGCTGCTGTGAAGTTGACCTCCACTCATAGTGTCCCCGTGTGACCGCGGCACCGCCCCATGGGTCTCCTAGGCTGTACTCCGTAGGGACACAGCCCACCAGGTCTTTCTCCCTCGAGTCCTGCTGGGTGGGGCTAACCCACTAGTTTGGTGATTCGCAGGTGAACATTTAACCAGTGCATCTGCGGGGCTCCTGGGATAGAAACTTGCTGCTTACAAGGCAGCTTTCCCAGACCCCCTTTGACTCAGATGAAAACATTCGGTGGCATACAGAGTTTAAGCCCATTTTACAGAGGAGGAAACTGAGACACAAAGTATTATAGCCCAGGGTCCCCAGGAAAGCTGGAAGCTGTGCACTTGGTGATCTTTTCTAAGTCCCATAAGCCTCCAGCACTGGGCTGGCCATTGACACTCAACAGAGTCCTACCCAGCATCCCTCTCCCAAACGTGGAACCCTGCCCCTGCCCCTGCCCCTGCCCTGAATAGGCACAAGCCAGCAGACCAGCTCCCCTCTCTCCATGACCCGGCCATGGGCAGGGGCTGCAGCTGCCGCACCTCCTGCTGAGAACGGTCCTGCTAGAACCAGGCAGATGGGGGAGGCTCCTTCCCTGGAGCTGCGTGGGGTGTGTTGACATCCTTGCGTGCCTGCATCCGGCTTGCTCCTTCTGCCGGCTCGCTGGCCAACTTGGAATCGACTCACACACTCCCTGCAGCTGCCGGAGCGTCTGCTGCCAGCTCCCTGCCCTCTGGGAATTCTTCCACTTGCGGTATCATTTCCTTTCGGGCTAAAGGTCAAGGGGAATCCGGAATCCTGGTGGCAGGAGAGTGCCGTGTGGGGGCAGTAGGAGCACCGGAAGCAGAAGCCCCCCGTCTGGCTGAGCCTGGTCCGAGGCTGTGGACAAGGCCTTGGGCATTCATAGTTTGCATCTGCCAAATGGGTTCTCATGAGGACAAATGAGGTAGCGGGTTGGTTCAGGCAACCAAATATTTATCAAACACCTGCTACATGCCAGACACCGTTCCTGCTGCTAGGATACAGCACTGAACACACTTTACCCTGACCTCATAGAAATTATGTTCTGGTGAAGGGTGGTGGGGAGGAGATGGTGAACAAACAGACAAATAAATACATGAGTCTGTTGTTGAGAAGCACTGAAGAAAAAAATAAATGAGAGTGGGGCAGAGACTGTCAGGGATGAGAGAGCTGCCCTTCCACATAAGGTACAAAAAGACAAGGCTGACCAAGTGATACTTGAACAGTGGGCTGGAGAAAATGAACCCAGAGAATCTGGAGGGGTCTGGGAAAGAGCATTCCAAACCCAGGGAACAGCAGGTGCAAAGGCCCTGGGGTGGGCGTGGGCTGGACAGGAGAAAGTCGGGTGTGACTGGAATGGACGGGG